TACAGAGCCTGCCTCATACGGTTGTCTGTTGGTAAAGCACTCAGCACGGCTCCTAGCACACGTAAGCACGTACGCAATGCTACCTCATCGTATTACTAATCAGAGCTGTCTGGCCCCACTCAGTACTGCCTTCTTTTTGGAGAACGCAGCTCCGCTGAACTGCTTAGGGAGTGCAGGGCTGTTCGGAGCAGACCACAGCAGCGGTTTGCTGTGTTCAGCCTGGGGATGCTGTTGGCCTCCTTGTCTGCTCGCTGGCAGGCTTGGCAGCCTGTCCCTTGTTTCCCTGAAGGTAGGGATATGGGCACCTGGTCAGCCTCACACCTCAGTCCGGGAAAGGCATGGCCCCAAGGACTCTTTCAGGGGCGAGAGAGTTTGCTGTATTTGCATTCAAGAGTAGGGTTTGGTGGAGGCTGCCACGTGGAGCAGCCGTGGAGGATATTGAGGGCCCTGTGTGGTCCTAGCTGAGTGCACTTGGGCAAGTCACCATAGCTTAGTGGAGCCGGATGAACGGTGACCAGACCCACCTGCCGCCCTTCTTCTCTTGGTGATCGCAAGGCTCCAGCCAGAGTACCATGGGGATGGTGCCTGGCAAATTGTCAAGTAGATTACAGGTGTGAGGAGGGACATTTGATTTCTTGTGCCTGCTGGGGTGGAGGGAAGGAAAGAAAAAAGATCCAGAATTTTCATTTTTAGGCAGCAAACATAACCTTGTCTGTTGAAAATGAACAGCCTGCATGTTCTCTGGCAAGCCCGGCCTCTGCCATTTCAAACAAAAGGCACTTGTGGGTCTCCTCAGTGGGGTTTCCTGCACCTGTGTGGGTCCCCCATCCCTCCCCCCACACACACACTCATACATGCGCTCACAGAGGTGGCCAGCTTCAGGCAGATGTTTGTGCCTGGTCTTCCTGGGAGCTTAGAGAGAGGCATCAAGCAATGATAGAAGGAGTTTTGAAATGGCCCTGATGATGTTGGTCAGTTATGAATTCATCACGGCCTTTTATTCTTCTGGCAGGAAGTTATCCTTGCACCAGGTTAGCCCTTAAGAAAGTCCCCAGCCTTATTTGTCTACCCCCACCCCTCCGTTCTCACACACAAAATCTGTTTCCTTCTGCATGGCTGCCCACTGCCTTCAGAAACCACTTTTATTGCTCTGATCACAGTGTGCAACCCTGTCCCCCCCAGCACCTCCATCATGGAAGGCAGCTTCTAGATGCAGCTTTGCTGGGGCTTGTGGCGCCCTGCTCCCCTAAACTGTGTGTTTCTCTCTCAGAACCCTTTCTGGGACACTGCCATTTCTCAGCAGGTGGCCTGGACCTTTCTCTCCTGAACCTGAGTGCTGGGGCAGAGCAGGGAGAAGCAAACTGCATGGAAGGGAGGCCACACTGGGTCCACACAGGCCACGCAGTTGATACACCCCGCAGCCTGAAAGCCTCCCCCACCCCCTGTGCTCTGCCCTAGAGATCTTGGCAGCTTAGGGACTAGCTAGCTGCCTTTGGGATGAAGGGAAGCAAGGGCTCTGCAGAGAGGGAGCCAGAACCTTCCCAAGCCAGCTTGAATTCTTGGATCACAAGCCTCCTGCCTTAGCCCTTTGGGGCCTTGAAAGTCTGAAGTCCCAGGAGAGAAGAGTCCCCTCATTGGCTGTGACTTTGGGTCGCCAGGCCATCTGAGCCGACTTCCGAATGCTCAGGAACCTCTGACGGCAGGTGTAAAATGCAGGCCAGCCCTCCCCCACGCAGCAGTTAGGCGGCCTTATCCAGAGGGTCCAGGCTGGAAAATGCAGGGAGCAGATCCCTTCTTGGCCTCCTCACATCCCTGCCAAGCTTGACCCACGTGAGAAACTGCATCTTCTCCCAAACACAGATAAAAGCGAGCTCCACAAAAATTTAAATATAAACCTCCCCCAAATGAAAATTTCCCAACCGTCTGACTGGCCTGCTTCTAGGTCACAGTTTTGCCACCAGATAAATCTCCACTATCAGCCCTCATGGTCTGTTGAGTTCAATGTTGCTTGTGTTAGTGACAGTGAATTTGTGCTTGAAAAATGAACTACCGATGAGAACTCCTGTTGAACCTGCATTGTTTGTTATTCTGAGGCAAGGATTTGGCCCGGCTTAATCCGTGGCTTCAAAGCCAATTGCCCTCGCTCTGTATACAGAGCGTCAGAGCCCAGTGGCGTGGATGATAAGAGAAGTAAGGGTTGAAGACACTGGGAAAGTGGGTTGGGGAGAGAGTGCTTTGATCTCTTTTTAAAGTATTTTCTGAAAGCAAAAGTCTATCAGAAGGAAGTGCCTTAAAAAAAAGAAAATCTAAGGGAAACAACCAGCCTTCTAAAATAGAATCCATTTCACACACCCTCACCCTTTCCCCTTCCCTCAGGGAAAATAGTTCTTTAAAAAACACTTAGGGTGAATGAGCACACTTCATGTGGGGGCAGGGGTACGTGCATACCCACGCGTGGACCCATACCTGCGTGCAAAGTGGCAGTCAACCTGATAGCTCTGTGGGTGCTCTCAGAAAGTCATTTGGCTACAGAAGCTTTGGCCCCAGTGTAGGCAGCACGGCCACCCTCCCTCTCCAACCTCAGCCCTGGCCTCTTCCCAGCAAATCCCAGAATTCTTCCTGAGGACCCCTGGACATTAGCAACAGAAAAGATGAGTAGGGTGTTTAGTGGTTCCCTGCCTTTCTCCTGTGCCTCTCTGCGCGAGCGCGCACCCGCGTGCACACACACACACACACACACACACACAATTTAATGCAGATTTTATTGAAGTGGAATATTCTTGCAGAGGAATGCAATAATCTTAAGCATACAGCTCTACAGACTTTCACAAAAGGAACGCGACCGGGAACCCCCACCCAGATACAGAAGGAGAACATTACCAGTCACCCCCCCTGCCACCCTGGAAACTACTCCCCCCAGACTTCTCACCCCTTCCGTCTGGTTTTGTGCCTTCACTGAAGGAAGGCACGAGTGGTTGTTTCTGAGGTCCCTGGGGAAGCCAGGGCTGTGGTGGGGTTGGGGTTTGGGGCCCTGCCAGGCGGCGGTCCCCCTAGGGGGCTCTCCGCTCCTTCCCCCACGAGAGGGCGAGTCTGTCAGCGCCTGGAATTTGGCAACAGTCACTTGGACCCAGGAGGAGCCCGGCGATGGCTTTGTGTCCCCTCCCGGGCAGTGAGTTCGCATTGATGTGTTGATATTGCCAAAATCAAACGCCCCAAACCCTGGCGCGGGCCCTGCAACTCTCGGACGCGGAGAAGCGTCCCCGGAAGCTTATCTTAGCAGTTAATGCCAAAGCCATTTCCGAGGATGAATGGACGAGGGCTCCAGCCCCGCACCCGTTTCGTGATCAGAGCAGAAGCCCGGGCTTTCATCTCCTCGCCGGGCGGCAGCTTGTTTATTCGCCCGGCGGAGCCGCTTCCGCGCGTGCGGTGGGGGTGCGGGGCGCCCCGTCCGTCGCGGGTACGGGCGTGGGGACTGGGACAGCAGGGAGGGCGCGTGCACAGGGCGACGGCGACTCCGCCGAGTACAGCGCGAGCGACCGCCCTCCCCAGCCCACGAGGGCGTCCGTGTTCCCCGGACGGTGCTGGTTTTCAGGTGCATCGCGAAGCGCGGCCATAGCGTGCGCCCCGCGCCACCGTTTCTGCTGTTTCCTTAGAAAGGACTTCGCAGAGCCAGCGGGGCGTGGAGGGAGGACCAGCGCCTAAATCCAGCTGGCCTCCGTCGCTGGGTCGTGCTCACCAGGGTCCCCGGGCTCCAGCGGTAGCTCTCAGGGTACCCAGGGCTGCTGCCCACAGGCGGAGGCGGAGCCCTCTGCCCGAGCGTGGGCAGGGGACCGTGGGGTGGCCAGAGGGGCGCCTCGCCGTCGCACTCAGCCCGGCCCCACCCTGGGCCGCTCTGGGTCCCTCAGAAGCTGGTCGTTGTGGGAATGTGCCTGGGGCGCCGCAGAATGAGGTCTGCATGGCCCCGGAGCTGTCCCGAGCTGGATTCCGCCGAGACTCAGATGTCTGTCTGCACCAAGGCAGCGCAGCCTGGAGCAGAGCGAGTCGGCTCTCCGGAGCAGATAATGGCGCCCTCCCCGCCCCAGGCCTCCGCCCCAGGAAGGGGGAGTGGGTGGGCAGAGGCAGAGGCGAGGTGGAGATCGCTTCCTGGTCATCTCCCGTGCCGGCGGCATCACCGCCCCGACCCTGGGATCCATCAGGAGCCCGCCCCGTGGTCAGCGGTCAGCTCCAGCTGCACGCCTTGGGCGGCAAGCACAGGCTCCCCCTCGCCTTCCACACAGCTCTTAGTCACTGTCACCCCGGCCTCCGGAGTTGCAGGCGGAGGGGGAGGACGGTGTCCGCCCTCAGCCTAGGTTATGAAGACCAGGCAGTGGTCATTTCCCCTCGCGCCCTGTGTGGGACACTGTCCCAGAGGGGAGCCCTGGCTGCCTTCTGTCATTGCCACCCGGAGTGACTTCAGGAGATCCAGGGCTATGTGGGGGCCACTGGTGCCAGCCGGCCCAGCGAGGCCGGGCTGCCCCATTTTGCGGCTGTTTTTGTGGCAGTTACAAAATGGTGGCCTGGAGGGGACAGGATTTGGGCCTTCCCTTCCAGGAGGAGGGGAGGCAGCCGCTGCCTCCCCCACCCCCACCCCCTTCAGCTTTAAGCCCACCAGGGAGAGGCAGGGCCGGGAAAGAGGGTGGTGCGGGTTGCAGCTGTGCCCCCGGGCCGGACGGGGGCTGGTACGCAGGAGGCAGGCTTGGGTTCCTGAGCCGTCACTTCCCCCGTTCCTGCAGAGGGGGTGGGGTGGACATTTGAAAATGCTTTCAATTGACATCTGAGACAAATTCTTCCACACGGTTTATAAGTCCCTAGACTTGCAGCTAGAACTCACCACTCCCCCCCCTCCGCGCCCAGCAGGCACGCACACAGCCGCACATGCGCACTTGGCTCGCACTGCACCACGTGCTCGCGCACATGCGCCTGGGCGCGCACGCACGTTCACTCGCTCACGTCCCCACTTCCCGCCCGCTGTGGGGCGCTCGTCTGGCCTCTTCCTGCAAGAGGCGTGTGCGGGCCCAGCTGGGCTGGGGTAGGGGGTGGGCCTGAACCTCAAGGCGCTGGCCAGGGCCTCCTGTAGGGTCTGCCCGCTTGCGGAGACCTTCATCCTCTCTGCCCTCACTAGATAAAGCTGGTGCCCCCGTGGACAAAATGTGGCCCCCTGATCTGTCTGGGGATGCGGGATGGCTCCTTGAGCACTGGACTCCTCCAGGCATGGACTGGCCGGGCCTTCCCACAGCTCGGGGCTCGGTCCCTCTCTTTTCCCTTGGCGTCTTCTGTTAGGGTTGGATCTGCTCCTCTCCTGGGGACATCTTTGTGGGAAATCAGCTCGGAGGGGCAGAGGCTGTGAGGAGGACTGTGAGGCTCTTGTGGGGAAGGCACTGGTGGCCAGGGGAGGGAGCTGTGACCCCGGAGTGTGTGTGTGTGTGTTTCCCGGCTGGTGTAGGTGTGTGCGCATGGCCCAGGGCTCAGGGTCCTCAGAGCCTCAGGTTTCTTGGTAAATCCGTTATCACAGAGGGAGGTCGAACCACTGATTGGTGGAGAGTGGAGTGCAGCAGGGATCAGGGTGATAGTCATAAATGGAGTCATTGAAGCTACGCAGCGAGCTGTGAGTGAGGTAGTAGGGTTATCCTTGTTTTAGGGTGAGGGAACCAAGGCACAGAGAAACCCAGGGTCCTAGACGCATCAGTGGTGGGGGCAGGCTGAGGACCTCAGCAGGGTGGCTTCAGAATCCGTGTTCTTATCCATCAGCTCCTGGACTGACTTTCCCCCATGCCATGTTAGGATTCACGGTGAGAAATAGCCCTGCTCAAAGCACCAAGCCAGGTTTTCCGCAACACTCACTTTACTGTTTTCCTGCTGGTTGGTTTGAGGTCTGAGGGCACACAGATGTGGCTGGGAGGCAGCGTCTCGCTGCTGGTGGATGCGGCACACAGGGACTTCCAGGCCATCTGTCCTGGCTCTTTACAAGGCCACCCCAGAACTTCAGCTAGCAAAGGCCTGCAGGGAAATGAAGGCGGCCAGGCCGGGGAGGGAATCCTCTCTCACAGTCTCTGCCAGGGCGTCTAGGCTGCCGCAGCTACCAGGCCCATATCTTAGGGGAACTGAATTTGAGAGACCATGTCAATTCTGTTCCTAGACACAGACTGACAGCTGCAGGGGCTCAGGGGGACACCAGCCCCTCCTAGTGCAGCAAGGCAAGGTGGGGGGCTGTGAGTGCTGGATCCCTAGGTATGGGGTGGCACCTGCGAAGGCCTTCCGCGTCCTCCGCTCACTCTGCTGTCTCCCCTGGCCCTGTCCCTGCTTCTCCTCACCCCTTGGCCCCTCAGGAGGATGTTCCCCAGCTACAAGGTCAAAGTCACAGGCATGAACCCCAAGACCAAGTACATCCTGCTGATCGACATCGTCCCTGCGGATGACCATCGCTACAAGTTCTGTGACAACAAATGGTAAGAGGCCTGGGACCCTCACCACACTGCCAGCCCTCCCTCAGCTGCTTTTCCCACACATCACCCCACCCCCACCTGGTGTGCGGCACAGGGGCCCAGCCCAGGATCCCTGCCAGGAACTGGAACTCTGAGGGCCGAGCAGGGCAGGCAGTGCCTGCACAGCTGCTGCAGGTGGGGCTGGAGCCGGGAAGCAGCCAAGGTGTTCGGGTGTCCACTGGATTTCAAGGGTCTGGACTCCCCCACAGCCATGGACAGTCAGGACTTGGTGACCATGCTGTCGGTGATGAAAGAATGCCAGCACTGGGCAGATTCACACTGTGTCAGTTCTTCACTGGGGATGGGGCGGGGGCTGTTTCTTTGGGGAACTTTGCTAGTTAGCAGTATCACCTGGCCGTCTCTGGTTTCCACCCACATCCTCTGGCTGCAGAGCCCCTCCGCCTTAGGTTGTGTGTCCATCACAAAGACTGAGGGAGCTGCTGTCTGGGGCTGAGTGACGGGACCCTTTGGCAAGGGGTTGGGGAGATAAGCAAATCCAATTGGAGCAAATCCAATTGGGGGGGGGCACAAATAAATGCTAGGCTGCCCTTTTCATGAGGCCAACTCGTTCACACCCTCTCTGTCTGCCCCCAGGACTGAGAACAATGCTTTCTGGGGCAGGCACTTGGCACAGCAGTTAATCTGCACTCGAACGCCTGCATCCCATATTGGAGTGGTTTAAGTCCCCCTTACTCCACTTCCAATTCCAGCTCCCTGCTAATGTGCACCCTGAGAGGGAGCTGCTGATGGCTCAAGTACTTGGGTCTCTGCCACTCTCTTGGGAGACCCGGATGGAGTTCCAGGCTCTTTGCGTTGTCCTGACCCAGCCCTGGCTGTTTGGGATATTTGGAGAGTAAACACACAGATGGAAGATCTCTCTGTGTCTGTCCCTCTGCTTTCCAAACAAAAGGAAAATAAATAAAATTCTAAGAAAAGATTAAAACAAAAAAAGAACATTTGCAGAGGGCGTGCCAGCCAGGGTGGGTGGGTAGTGGAGCTGGCAGAGGTGGAGCTGCCGAGGCAGGATCTGGGGACCAGGTCCTGGCAAGGACTGTGTGTTTGTTTCTTCTGTCTCTGGACTAGATTAGAACTCAGAGCAGGCTCTGGCCGAGGGAAAGCTACCGATTAATTTCCTAGCATTGTTTTAGGGGCAAACAATTAGAAAGTTGTCTATGGCCTCTAAGAAGCTCCCCCTGAAGAATGTAACTTGTAACATTTACAGTTTATAAGTGTATATGCAGGAGTGCCTGGATCTCCCCCAGGCACCTTTGTGATTAGCCCCTGTTCTTGCAAATGGTTGCATTTCCTGGTGCTCTTCTCTTCCTTTTCTACTACCGTAAAATACAAGAGGTCTGTAGCCATGTCTCTTCCTCAGCTCTCTGTTCCCTGTGCCTCACCACCGCCCCCACCCCCAGGGTCCCACAGTGACTGCAGGTGGGACCCGCGGCTGCTCTCCTGCCTGGTCACCCGGGGGGGGGTGCTCTCCGAGGGACAGGGTATCTGGGCTTCACAGACCCCAGGGTGATCCACTGCTACCACCATGTCTGCTCTGTTGGCAGGATGGTGGCGGGGAAGGCAGAACCGGCCATGCCGGGCAGGCTGTATGTGCACCCGGATTCTCCTGCCACGGGGGCCCACTGGATGCGGCAACTGGTCTCTTTCCAGAAGCTGAAGCTGACAAACAACCACCTGGACCCCTTTGGCCATGTAAGCATGGGACCCAGCTGGCCTTGGGGTGGGGGTGGGGCAGTGTTGGGGAGGGGCAGGTGGGGGTGGGGGACAGGATCCAGCATCTGCCCCACTGTGGGGCGGTTTCTTTGCCTTGTGAGCTGAGGTTTCCTGGTCTGGAAAGTGGAGATGGCCCCAGCTACCTCTCGTGGCTGTTAGGTCTGAATGAGAGGACAGGCTGGGAGGACCTCGCGCCCACAGGAGGCTCTGAAAGAACGGTGACCTTGGTGATGACTGTGATGGGCCAAGCCTCTCAGCCTCAGTTTCCCCAAATCTGGCCTTGCTGGAGCACACGAGACAGGTGAACCTCATGAGAAAGAGCATGGATGCGTTCCGAAGCCGCTCCCTGGTGTGCAGCCTGCTTGCCCTCCAGATGACAAGGCCCAGCCCCCGTGTCAGCTCCCCCTGGCTTTGCCTGGGACGTGGCTCCCCGCAAGCAGATTCTGAAGACCAGGGGTGCTGTGACTGATGCCCCGTCCAGGCTTCCCAGGCTCGCTCTTTGCCCATCTTGCCCTCGCTGGCCACCAAAAAGGAGCTTTTTTTTGTGGAAATTTTTAGCTCAAGTGTGTGGCAAACAGAAACCTGGGACCCTCTGGTATTATCTGCCAGAGCGTAGGCCCTCCCTCCTTAGACTTACAGTGGCTGCTCTGGAAGTGCAGGACAGGTGGGGTGGGTGGGGGCGGGCAGAAGCTGGCAGGTGCAGCCCCCTGAGCTGTGCATGCAATGCTCGGGGTGTGGGCGGTGGGGTTGGGGTGTGCAGATTTGTCACCCTTGATGCCTTGGTTCCGCTTCTGGGGAGCTATGTGCAAAGTAGGGTTCCAGGAATGACCCTCATGGAGAATGTCAGCAAGGCTTCATTTCTGATTGATGGATGTGCAGCTGGCAGACCCCTCCTGGCTTTAATTTCTCAGAGTGTGTTCCATTTGCTGCTAAGTTGGGAGAATGCTGAATGAACATGTGTAGCTTCTGACTTCCCTCTGCTGGATTTCCCATGCAGGCAGGGCAGGCGGATGTCCAGTGGAAAGGCTCAGCCAGGGCTCTGCCTCCCAGAGCAGCAGAGGCTTTGTGTTGAGCGGCAGAGGGGCCTCCTGGACACTATCCTGGCCATGACTTTGCTCCCACTCAACTCGTATTCTCCCTCCTCTTCGTGGCTGGGTTGTAGCTCCAGTCTTGCAGTTCTAGGGATGGCCTCCATGGTAGAAGGCCAGAACCTTGTCTCTCCCGCAGCTGCACACATCCAGACCCCTGGCAGGAGCTGAGCGTTTGGTGCAGAAGTCCCTTGGGATCAAAGCTCTGGAGGGGACTTTGGGTGCACCTACCTGCTATCATTGCTCCTGGCTTTAGGAGTGCCCCTCCCTGACTCCTGCAGGGGACAGGAGGGAGGGGAGGGTTGGAGAGCTGGGCCTTCATTAGGACGTCAGAGAGAAATCTGGCCTTCAAAGCCTGGTGCCAGGTCTTTCCAGCCTGGCTAACCTGTGTGGTGATTCTACCTGAGTCTCCAAGGGGCTTGTGACAACACTGTGGGTAGTGTTAAGTTTGGGCCTCTGTTAAGCTCTTTTTAAAAAAATTTTATGGGGCTGGCACTGTGGTGTACAGAGTAAACCTGCAGCCTGCAGTGCCAGCATCCCATATGGGTGCCGGTTCGAGTCCTGGCTGCTCCACTTCCGATCCAGCTCTCTGCTATGGCCTGGGAAAGCAGTAGGAGATGGCCCAAGTCCTTGGGCCCCTGCACCCATGTGGGAGACCCAGAAGAAGCTCCTAGTTCCTGGCTTCGGATCGGCACAGCTCTGGCCATTGTGGCCATTTGGGGAGTGAACCAATGGATGGAAGACCTCCCTCTCTCCCTCTCTGCCTCTCCTCCTCTCTCTCTTTCAAATAAATAAATAAATATTTTAGAAAAAAATTTTATTTATTTTGAAAGAGTTAAAGGAAGAGAGAGGTAGAGACAGGGGTCTTCCACCCACTTGTGCTCTTCCCAGGTGGTCACAGTGGTCAACATTGGGCCAAGCCAAAACCAGGGGCCAGGGACTTCGTCTGGGTCTCCCACATGGGTGCAGGGGCCTAACACTTGGGACATCTTCCTCTGCTTTTCCCAGGCCATTAACATGGAGCTGGATTGGAAGTTCAGCAGCTGGGACTCGAACAGGCACCCATATGGGATGCCAGCGTCACAGGTGGAGGCTTTACCTGCTACTCCACAGCGCTGGCCCCTGCGGATGGGCTCTTGAGGCTGGAGTGCACATGCACACACCTGTGATCCCTGCCTGGGGCTTATCTGTCCACAGCAGAACAGATACCGACCTCTGTGAACTCAGCTTTCTGCCGGGAGGCGTGGGATGCAGAGCCTTGGACTGCTTCTCCCTCTGTCCTCACCCTTGTGCGGCACCTGTTGTCCTTTGGCTCCAGCACCCCCTGTGGAGGTGACAGGGCTCAGGGAGCCGAGGAGATTGTCTCAGGAGCTGGGAGGAAAGGAGCCAGTGCATGGACCCATGCTTCCTGCTTCCTGGTCCCCTGCCGTTTGGGCTCCCCTACCTGTCTTTCCATACACAGGGTGCTAGCTGTCCCCTCCTCAGCTGTTGGGAGCAGCCTTTGGCCATGCACATGGGCAATGGAGGAGGAGCTCTCTGCCAGGGCGGGTCAGGGTGAAGCAGCCCAGCAGACGCTGCCTTTCCACTCCCCGGCCTGTGCCGGGGGGATCCGGGAGCCCCACTGGAGGTGAAGAAGCTGCCTCCTCTTGGCTTCTTTCTGTACAGGAGCTGGGACAGAGCCATCCTGCACTGTGAACTTCTCTCAAACAAGCTCTTCATTCTGCACAAGTCACCACTGCATTTTCAGTTTTCCCCAAAAGCTTCCAGGCCTCAAGGGACCTTCTCCAGCCAAATGGACTTTGGCCATTCCCCTGGCATCCTCATAGTGTCCCAGGAGTTTTAGCAGTAGCCTCTCTTTGACAGCCTTCCCCCAACTCCACTGTCCAAAGGGCTAGGGTCTCTCCTTAGTGAAGGGGCCCAATCCACGGTGAGCTGGCACTGCCACTGTCGTGGAGGAGTCCAGAGTCAGTTCTATGATACCAGCTTGGGATCCTTCTATCTTAGAGATCCTCAAGTTCAGCTGCCCCATTTCCTCATCCCAGGGGTGAGCAGGGTGACTGACAGGCCGTGTGTCTATCTGTGCATAAGGGCCCAAGGAGAAGAAAGGCCCAGTTACGGGGGGTGCAGAGCAGCCACGTGGGGAAAATATGTGCTTGGGTAGTTGCCTTATCTTCCAAGGACCCTGTGCCTCCCCCGCCCCCACTGCTTTTCTTGACTGTCTGAAGACCCAGGAGAAGGGTGCATGACTCAGGTGAGGGCTTGAGCCCGGTTGATGCTCCTAACAGACAGGACTGGCTTCTGACGAGACCAGGAGGGTCGGGTCAGCAGGGCAGGCTCAGGAATGACCACCAGGTTCCAGGAGTGAGCCCAAGGCCAAAGGCTACACAGGCAGCCTGGGCAGAAAGGGTCATGGAACAAGGGTAGGGTGGTATTGCCTCCATGGACCTGGCAGCCAGCTCCCCTCCGTGGTCCTGCTGGCTGCAGCAGTGGCCTGCCCATCCCGCCTCCTCCTTGCCACTCCTCCTGCCCCCAGCTTTCCCCTTCTGCCTCTCCTCCTCTTCAGGATAAGAGTCCAGCAGTGCAAGTGAGGGGTGGGCGTGTCTCCTGTGGCAGGACACAGAGGTGGCTGGCCTGTGAGCCTCCTTTACCCTTGATCGGGAGGAAAGAAGGCCCTGGCCGTAGTGGGCTGTGTTTGTGTGCATCTGTGTGAGCATGCGTGAGTGTGTTCATGCATGTGTGACTGTGTGTGTGTATTGGAGAGATGGCCGTCTTCACTAGCAGGAATGCCAGATTGTTGGGGAGGGGGGCCTGCATAGGATTTTTGACATAGTAGGTAGAACTATTGGACAGGCTGAGTTGGCGCAGCCCAGGGGTGTGCCCTGCCTCCAGCTTGTGCCCAGTGCCCTCCGAGTTCCCCCTCCTCCTCTGGCCACAGTTCCACACATACTGCCCGCCTGCCACCTGCCGTGCTTCCCTGTCAGCCTGGGTTGATCTTCCCACCCTGTTTGCTTACTTGCATATTACTTGAGCCTTAGGATCCAAGTTCAAATGCAGCTTCTTCAGGGAGAAAGTTCAGGTCCCCATTCTGTACACACAAAGCCTTAGGCACCTTTTCACCCTTGCACTTACCAAAGTAATAATTTCACACTTACTTGCATTTTTAAAAATTTGTTTTTGAATAGGAAATATACTTACGTGGTTTCAAAACAAATCACTGAATAAATAAAACTGTCTACACTGCACTTGTGCTCTACTCCAATTAACTTCTTTCCAGCATTTCCTTCTGCACATATAGGCATAGTCCATAATCTCAGACCCCTCATCTGTACACAAAAGGCAGCTACTGTATCAACACTTTTCGCTCCTTGCTTTGTAAGCTTAATCTAACTAGGCTATCCTTCCACTCATAGAAAACATCCTTCTTTCTTTTTTTCTGTTTTGTTTTCTAGCTTTGTGCAATTGTACCACGTGTTTGTTCCATCAACTCTATAGCCAGCCTGATTGAAGGAATGAGGTGTTCTCGTTTTTCCCCTTGTCAGTGTGCATTGATGTGTATGTCTGTGTGCTAAGTTGCCTGTTCAGAGGGGTTTGTAATTTTGAAGACACCGTCATTGCCCCTGAGGAGTCACACCACTGTGCACTGCCACTGTTGCTGTGGCCTAAGCAATAACACGGGAGAGCAAACTTAGGGTTTCTGCCATTTTGATGAGTGAAAAGTGGATCTCAGTTTCAGTTTTCATTTCCTTTACGGTGAGTGAGGCTAAGCGTTGCCTCTTCTGTGAGCTGCTGTTCTTGTCCGTTGCTCATTTTCTCTTACATGTTTGCTCTCATCAGCTTGTAGGAGCTTTTATAAATCAGGAGGAATCAGCTCCCGCCCATGATGAGAGCTAC